CCCGATTTACACAGCTAAACCCTGTTCAAGGCTCAGGAATTGGAAGTGCTAGGTAGCTCTGAGCCTGATGTGAGCTAAAAACAGAAGGAATAATAGAAAAGTTGTTTAAGAATCAAATCCTCAGAATCCCTTCTCCAATCCAGTAGAAGCCCAGAGATTTAGTATTAGGGTAAAACAAAAGATCTCTGGCTCAGAGGACACCAGGCCCAGTTAAGGCGGAAGGTCTGATGTTGAAAGAGAAATGGTAAGAAAATTCAGAGGACCAACATGTGAGTAATTGAAACTCAAGAAAGAGAAAATAGGGTATAAAAACAAATACTTCAAGTTGGGTGAGACTGGAACCCTGTTCTGACCCTATATCCCCTGCTGTTTATATTCTTTCACTTACTGGTATATCTGATTCATAGTAACTAAAAGGACATTTTTCTGAGCTTTCAGATATGTTAGGAATAGTCAAACGGACTTTGTTTGGGTGACTGAGGGGTGGGGCTAGTGTTACCTCTCCCGTAAGCAATCATACCAAAATGGTTGGCAGAACTGAAGAATTATAGTTAAAACCAAAAAGGGACACCTGGGTGGTTCCGGCTGTTAAGTGTTGGGCTCTTGATTTCTGCTTGGGTCTTGATCTCTGCGGCCTGAGATTGAGCCCCGCCTACGCTGGGCAGCGGGGCCTCGGTTGAGATTCCCTCCCTCTCCCTCTGGCCCTAACCCCATTCCGGGGACTCACTCTCAAATATACAATATACATATAAATATGTGTATGTTATATATATAACATAGAAATATATATGTAAAATAAATTTTTTTAAAAAAGGAATTATTAGTAAAAGCTATGAAATGAGGTGCCCCTACAACTCAAAATCATGTCAAATTGTGGTTTAAGAAGGGCTAATTCTGTAATTGCCTCAGGCTCGAATTGGTAAGGCACCAAAGCAGGGAAGCAGTCCATAACAAGCAGAGTTACAGATACAAAATCAATTGTGGAAGGAAAAAAATAACTTTAGCGTCGTCTGTGGAGTCTAGAGTAGGCTCACCGTCATGCTAGGCAGGAAACAAACTAAGAAGCCCCCCTTCTAGGTCCGAGTCAGCCTGGGTCTGAGGAGCGTCCTCACAGGTGGCGAGCGAGTCCTACAGCAGGCTTTCAGAAGCTTCAGTTGGAGAACCCATGGTTCACGTTTCTCAGCTTCGCCGGCCAACTGATGAGACTCTCAAAGTAGTGCCTGGGCATCGTCATTTTTAAAGCTTTACAGGTGATTTCAACTTTAGGTAACTGAGTTGAGAGTCATCGTCCTAGCAAGGCCTCTTTTAATTAGTTACAATGTTTTGACTTAAAAATACACTATCAGCAGGGACCTGCTGGTATTAAGAGAGAAAGATGCGTAATACCGGTGATAAAGGGGAGAAATGAGAAAACAGTCCAGCTGCGGTGTGTGTGGGAGGAATGGGCAAGTGGAACACGAGAAAGGAAAAGCAAATCTGGAATCGTTCTGGAGTACTGCGCCCAGGCTTCGGTATCCTATTTAAACCTCCAGGCCCGGGGGCGTTGGCGGTGAGAGAGCACTGGAGTGGCTACACAAGGGTGACTTCCCAGCAGAAACCTGAAGGCTCGGGTGTCTGGACCTAGTTATTTTAGGTAAAAATAAGGATACAGGGGGAAGAACACCGAGTCCTCGTCCCAAATCTGTCCAAAATAGCTGTGCAACCTCAAGTAAATCTCCCCTCCGGACCAGACGTTCCGAACGCCTGGAGTGAGGAGACGGGGTTAGCAACCCTCAGCATCTCCCCGCTCGTCCGGCTGCACCGATAAACCAGGGGTCACACGTCGTCCGGAAAGGCCCCAGCTGATCCGCAGCTGTCCTGCAGCTGCGAACCACCCCACCTTGTTTCCTACTCGGCCTCTTTAACCCCGGGGCATGGGCTGCGCACAAAGCACCACCCTCTAGACGCCCCTCGGCCCCAACCCGGAGCTCTACGCGGAATTCCGCCACCCCGCGCGACTTCCCCGAGCTTCCTGCTCCTCCCCGAAACGCCCTCCACGCGCCGCTCGCTCGACTCCCTCGACCATCTCCGCGGCCTGGGCCCGCCCCCTCCGCCTGGCGCCAGGCCGCGGAGCACCGATCGGCTCGATGAGCGGGGGCGCTGCTGCGGCGGAGCGGCAGACGCGGGTCCGCGCCCACTGTCTCCCCCTCCCCGCTTTCTTGCTGCGCCTCCCACTCCGCCCCCCCCCCCGCCCTGCCCGCGCCGGAGAGCGGCCCGGAGCGCCCCGGGAGACTCAGGTATTGGCGCCGGCCGTCCCGACGGGAGGGGCTGCTGTGAAGAGGAAGGAAACGAGACGACGCCCCTGTTCCGCCGCCTCCCAACGTCCGCCTGGAGCTCCGGGACCGGCCTGGGGGTCGGGGGGGCGGGTCGGGGAGGGACCCCCGGCTGGGGAAAAGCTGGATTCGGGCCGGGAGTCGTGGGGAGCCACCAGGAGTGGGTGTCCGGAGGGGGGGCGGTTGAGGGCAAGGAGAAAGGCAATTGAGGGGTGCTCGGGGGAGAGGGGAAGAGAACAGTGGAGGGCGTGGGGCGGGCTGGAGAAGAGTGGGAGGTAGCCTGGAATGAGAGTGGGTCCCTTGGGGCAGAAAGGACCAGAATTAGGAGCAGATGTCGGGGGACGTGGCCTGGTGCGACAGATGCGGGCGGGGGGGGGGGGGGAGCACCGAGCTCCTTGCTGGAGGGGATGGATTCGTCTCATTATTTAAAGTCACGGGAGAAAGAGCGCCAACCCTGCTGGCGTTGATGGTGACCAGAAGGGGAGGGGAATCCTTATAGTTTGACAGTTTTTGTGAATAACATCTCCAGGCCGTGTCCGTCCAAGTCACGTATTTCCGTGAAACTGCACCAGCGAGACTGGTGATGGAGAGGAGAGTCGGAAGTGGGAATGGAGGCCGGGAAAGGGGAAACCTCTGCCCAGATTCAAGCTTTTTGTGAAACGAAATATTTGGGGGGTTTAGTTTTCTCTGAAAAGCAAAAAAGAAGCCAACATTATTAAACAACATGTTAGAAGTGTATTCCACGTAAGCACTTAGCGAACTTACTGGCTCTTCAAAAGATATACACGAAATTGTAAACGTATGATGATGACGTAAGAAGCATATGGTGATGTGACGTTTTTTAAATGAATTATATATTGCTGTTCAACTCTGTTGAAATACATCATGAACGCTCTCTTATCTCTATATGTACTCACACACAAATCCCCGAATTCATGTGTATTTTTTGCAGGAGAAATTTTAGGTAGAAATATATACCTCAGTTCTGAGCGTTCTTTATTTTTTCTAGTTGTTTGGCACAAATCATCAGTTTCCCTGTGGTTCATCGAGCATAGTTAATCTTGATGCCTTGCTGATGTCTTTTCTGTTTGTCGGAGACTGGTTTCTTGCCTTCATGAGGCTGATCCTGGAATACAGGACCTGATGATGGGGTTTGCTCATCATTAAACTTGTAGCTTTACTGTGTATTTCGTGAAGCTATGAGTCTGCCTGGTTTTTGCCATAGGATATTAAAGCAGCCCCTTTGTTGGGTTTAAAATATAAATAACATGTGGGTATAATTAAAAGCCCAGATTTTTCATTTGCTTCCTTTGTCATCTGTTTTTTTTTTCCTGCGTGCTATAACATTTTTGCATGAATGAATTATTCTGAAATCAAAGTATGAGGAATAAAATGGGCCAGATGTATGTGACAGAAATATTGTGTAAAGAACTCTAGAGCTGTTACTTACGAAGCAAGAATTCGGTTTTTGTTACAAATGGCTAAGTCTCTGTTTTGGAAGCTTTTCTTTCAGGGAAAACTATCAATTTGTTTTGATAGGCCAACTTAAAATATTGTTTTTATTTAGTTTATGAAACTGGACTCTGGGCTTGTATATAATATTAGCCAGCAAACTGTTGTCTATACTTAAAGATCTCAGAGTTTTTTCTTCTTGGGAAAAAGGGAAGAGGGCTGCTGGATTGTTACAGCAACGTGGTCTTTCTAGAACAGAACAGGTTCTGTTAATGTTAAAACTGATGATGCATACCATTGATTAATTTGATCCCATGTTTCTGCTATTTTAATCAGTAGAGTGACTACTAGCTACTTTTCTTTACTAATCCTTAGTTCTTAGTTTCTTAGTGCCTACTTTGAAGGAGTGTCCTAAAGACTAAAAGAAAATACATGTAAATCACTGAGCACAGTGTCTACCACATACTAAAAGATACAGTACCTTAGCTAGTCTCATTTTTCATCTATCTTCTAATCCAAGATACTGAAAACTCAAATTTGCATGTCCGCTTTTTCTCAAAATTTAGTAAACTGCATACTCAAACATTTTCCTGGAAAATCACAATGCATATTAACATGTAAAAAGCTGTGAGACTTTCTCTAGCAATAAGATAAAAACAAAACCAAAAAACCTGGTTCTGTTTAACCCACTATTTACTAAACTTAATCCCTTTTCTTGGAGCCTAGTGCTGTGCTTTAAAATATGATGTTATAACTTACAGAATATTTTCTCATGTATTACCTGATTTGACCATCCCAACTCCATGCAGAAGCCTAGAAATCACTATTTTACAGATGAAGAAACTGAATTATTTAATCAGCTAACTGAAAATGTGAAAACTGGGAGTGCTCTGCTGTCTTCTAATTCCAGGTTAAAATCTTAAAGAACTTAATGTCTCATTTTCTCCTAATTTACCCCCCTCCTAACCAATCTGCTCTTGAATTTTATAAAAACCTGCACTAATTTTCCCCACATGTTCTCTTTAAGAAGTTACATCCACTTCCTCATAGTTTTATCTATTTTTTATGTATTGGAGCCTGGCATGGAGGATAGGGTCACCTGGAATGAACCAAACGGAAAGGCAGTAAAGTCCAAGAAATGAAGGAGGCTGTTCTGTGCAAGGCCTTGAACACTAGTGAAGTGATTTAGCTTCTACCCCAAAGTCTCAGTCAGATGAAATTTATTTTCTTTTCAAGGTGGTGAATACTTACTCTGCTGGAAAACAGAAGAGTGCTTCTTGAGTAAAAAGTATGCCTCCCAAGTTCAAGCGCCACCTAAATGATGATGATGTCACTGGTTCTGTGAAAAGTGAAAGGGTGAGTTTAGAATCTTAATTTTTCAAACAGAGTCAAAATACATTTTCATTCCTTTTGTAAATAATTTGTTTTAGAAAAATCTAAATATTCTAATTCTGCTTTTTCTTCACAGTAAATATTTTAAAGCGTATGTTACTTAGATTGGTGACTCCGTTGAATTCTACTCCATTATTGATCAAACTAGACTCACAGCTTCTTTCTAGTCTTTCAAAGTGAATTTTATACAAATACACAGCATCTTATTCTGGAACCAAATATGATTGGAATTCAGAGTTTTTCAGATTTTTAAAGGTAGTTAAGTGCATATTATATAACAGCCTTTTTGGCCTTTGGAGCAGCACCTCCAAGTATATTAGTATTTCTCAGAGAAATGTCTGATTACTGGGGACCTGGGTGGCCAAGTTGGTTAAACGTCGGACTCTTGATTTCGGCTAAGGTCATGATCTCAGGGTTGTGAGATCGAGCCCTAAGTTGGGCTCAGCTGCTGGGCATGGAGCCTGCTTAAGACTCTATTTCCTTCTCCCTCGTTAAAATAAAAAGGAGAAAAGAAATGTCTGGTTACTCTAAGTATATAAGTAAGCATATAAATAAATTAGCTAACATCAGTTCAGGTCAGGTTTTCCTCCAAATAAGTTTTGGAGGAAACTTACAAAACCTCTTGGTTTTCAGAACTTTTAGATTTTTGGAACTACAGATAAAGAATATTAGTTCTATAATTGTCATAGAGTCCAGAGTAGTTTTTATATAACATTCAATTTCTATTCAATTTCTATTTTATTCCAGAACAATCTTTTTTTTTTTAAGATTTTATTTTTTTTTTTTTTAAAGATTTTATTTATTTTATTTTGATAGAGATCAGTAGGCAGAGAGACAGGCAGAGAGAGGAGGAGGAGGCAGGCTCCCTGCTGAGCAGAGAGCCTGATGCGGGACTCGATCCCAGGACCATGACCCGAGCCGAAGGCAGAGGCTTTAACCACTGAGTCACCCAGGCGTCCCTGAAGATTTTATTTATTTATTTTAGAGAAAAAGAGCATGCAAGCAGGGAGAGAGGCAGAGGGAGAAGCGGGCTGACACTGAGCAGAGAGCCCATTGTGGGCTCAATCCCGGGACCCTGGGATCACAACCTGTGCGGAAGGCTGACACTTAACCAGACTGACACTTAACCAGATAGGGACCCTCACGTCCCTATCCCAGAACATTCTATGCAGATATGTGTAAATCTAGAAGTTATGCAGAATTTTGGAAGACAACAGTTGATAGCAATGTTGTAGATAGATTACTTTTAGAATAAGTCCTCACATATTTATTGAGGAAAGGAATTAGTGTTTTTCTTTTTTATCTAGCAACCTGAAGCCCTCACTCACTTCCTATCTCATTACTACTCCTTCATTTATTGATGCATTAATTGACCACCTCCTATTGTGCTAAGATCTGGAGGGCACAGTCTCTGCCCATATAGAGTTTACAGTCTACTTAGTTTCATTTTACGCATTCCTTTTTTGTACAATTCTGAACCTCACTCACTCTTTCCAACAGCTTATGATTTAAAAGTATCTTTTAGTACAATATGGGAAACATTTGTCTTTTCCTTATTCTAACTCTCTCTAGTTTGTTTTTTACTTGAAGGGGGTAGAATCCACCAATAGACAATAGACTATTTGCTAGGAAGCTTTTTAAAATAAGCTTTATGTATATACTTAAAATTATAATCAAATCTTTAAAAAAATGGCAGTGCTATGAATTTTTACATACCGATTTCTGCATGAACATGTTTTCATTTCTTGTGTGAATACCTAGGACTGGAATTGCTGGCTTAGTTATTATGTCTAACCTTTAAAAGAATTGCCAAATTGTTTTCCAAAGTGGTTGCACAATTTTTACATTGCCATCAGCAGTGTATGTGGATTCCACTTTCTCCCCACTTCTCCTACCAGCCAGTTTCTCCTCATCACTAATTTCTCCTCATTGGTTTGATTGTTTAGTGCTTTTGTCCTAAAATTCATCTTTGTATTAATATTGCTAACCCTAACATTCTTTTCATTAGAATTTGCTGATTTTTTTCCACCTCTTTTTTTAATCCTTTATTTGACATTCGTTTTAGGTGAATTTTTTTGTAAACAGATATTGGCTAAAATTTTTGGACTCTAATCATGTAGTTTTTACTTCTAATAGAAGTGTTCAAACATTGATGTTTGTTATGATAACTAATATACTTGGGATTTTTCTGCCTTAGCCAGTCCCTCTGCTGGCGGCGAATGCCCTTCCCCCTCATCTTTGGTTGGCCCTTTGCTATCGTTTGGATCGCAGCTTAAATTTCACGTCTTCAGAGTGATTTTCCATGAAAACCTAATCTCGTTTAGTCACCCTGTCACTTCCTATCCTGTCACTGTTTCAGTTCTTGGCATAGCATTTGTCACCATCAGATTTTTTTCTATGAGAGTTCAGACATTAACTGTCTTGTTCAAAGCTGGTCCTTGCCTAGAACAGTGCCTAGCACATAGACGGTGCGCAAACATGTTTATTGAATAAATATTAATACATTCCGTTTTCATTTCCTCACTCTCTGTGAATGTTATATATTATACATAGATATAGTTCATTGTATTTCATATGTTTTCCCTCTTTTCCCTGACTACTTTGGCAGATTGTTTTTTCTCATCTCCCCAGCCCTAGTATCACTAGTTAGTTAAAAAATGTCCTTCCTTTCTCCTTCTCTCTTTTTTATTATTAACTTCATATTTTAACAGTCATGTTTCGGTGCGCCTGGGTGGCTCAGTCATTAAGTGTCTGCCTTTGGCTCAAGTCAGATCCCAGGGTCCTGGATCAAGCAGCACATTGGGCTCTCTGCTTAGCTCTGCCCCTTCCCCCACTCATGAATGTGCTCTCTCTAGCTTGCTCTCTCTTTCTCTCAAATAAATAAATAAAAATCTTAAAAAACAAAACAAAACAGTTACGTTTAAATCTGTGTTCTCTCTCAACTAACCCTAACCCCCTCCATTATTTTACTTTCTCATTCTAGCCAGCTTCCCGCCTCCCCTACTCCTGTCCCAGTGAGGTGTGCCTCTCACTTTTACTTCTGCACTTCACCCTTCCACTCCTAGTTCTCGGTTTTATTAGAACAATTTTGGGCCCTTTTAAAGTTTTTCCTTATACTTTTTCAGTAGCTGTAAGATACAGTGCACAGTCACATTATCATTTATTCAGATTTGACCATACATTTTATTAGATCATCAGTTGTATCAATCTCTTAGAATGTTTCTTCTGATATAATTGGGGTTTTTGGCTGGTGAAATTCCTTGAGTAATTTTCTCAGGAAAAGCACATTGGTGTATTTGTTTCCTATTGCTGTTGTAACAAATTACCACAAACTCAAAACAACATAGATTTACCATCTTGTAGTTCTGGTGACCAGAAGTCCAAAGTGGGTCTTCCTGGGCTAAAATCCAGGCTCTGGCAGGATGTGTTTCTTCTGGAGGCTCTAGGAGAGAATCTGTTTCCTTGCCTTTTCCAGATTCTAGAAGCTGCCCGTGGTCTTTGGCTCATGCTCCTTACACTGTCTTTAAACTCAGCAGTATAAGCTCTTCTAAGTCCTCCCCTTCCCCCTACTCTTTCTCTCCCTGTCTTCTCTCTCCTTTCTCTCCCTCTCTCTCTCTCTCTCTCTCTCTCTCTCTCTCGGGCACTTCTGCCTTCCTCTTTTAAGAACTCTTGTAATTGTGTTGGGTCCACATGAATAATCCCTATTGATCTTCCCATCTCAAGATTTTAACTTAATCACATCTGTGGAGTCCCTTTTATCATGCAAGGAAACAGTTTTACAGGTTTCAAGGATTAGGATGGGGATATCTTGGGGAGTTATTATTCTGCCTACAAGTTATATACTGTCTAAGTTCTTATATTCTGAAAAGGTCTGGTTGTTGTGAGAGGGTGTGATCATCTTCATCTTAAGGAAAATAGTTCCATCTTATAAAAGAAAGGTATAAAGTTGTTGTTTGGCAGTTCTGATATGTCCGGAGGGTCATTTGTGAGCTATGAAGGTAGTAGATGGACTGTGCCAACCATTAAACCCTTGTCTCCTGGTTCTGAACCTGTCTTCTGTACTCCTCTCTGATGCTGGAATTGGCTTTGCAACTACATTTCTCCTCTACCCTCTGGCTTCCTATTAGGTTCTGCCTGTAGAGAGACTGGAAAGCAAGAGGGAGAAGGACAAGGGACTTAACTTCTTCCTGATTGCCTCCAGTTCCTTATTCCCACCCTGGCTTCAGCGACCTCTCTGCCTTGTAGTCAATCATAGGATCTCGCTATTAGAAGCATTTTTGTTGGAGGCTTGGCTTATTTGCTTCTGTCTTTTAGCTTTCAGTAAAGCACAGGTAAATTACTCTTCCCTCTGGCTGGAACCTGAGTTAAGAAATTTCACCAGGATAGAACTCCTTTCATTACTCCTCCCTGACAGTTTGTAAGCCTTCTGAATCTGAAAACTCAAGTCTTTTTCTTTTTTTTTTTTTTTTTTGGACAGAGAAATCTTCTGGAAGATGATTCGGATGAAGAAGAAGACTTTTTTCTGTAAGTTTTTTTATTTAACAGCTTTATTGGGGTATAATTAACATCTAAAATGCATAAAGAGTTTATCAGTTTTGATACATGTACTGCACACCTGTAAAATCATCACCGAAATCGAGTAATGAACATAACCATCACCTCAGAAGTTTCCTTATACCACTTGGGAATCTGTGACTCCCCTAGTCTCTAGGCAACCACTGATCTGCTTCCTTCCTATCACTGTAGTTTATATTTTCTAGAATTTGTGAAATAAATGTTATCATGCAGTAGGCATTTTTTTTTTTTTTGTACTGGCTTCATTCACTTCCGTAATTATTTTGAGATTCATCTATGCTGTCACACATACCAGTGGTTCCTTTTTATTTCTGAGACATATTCCCTTATATGAATGTAGTACAACTCATCCATCCATTCACTTATCGATAGATGTTTAGAGTGTTTATAGTTCTTGCTATCATGAGTAAAGCTACTATAAACAATTACATACAAGTTTTGTGTCGACTTAAGCTTTCATTTCTCTTGGGAAAATACTTAGGAGTTAGTTGAATGGCTAGTGTATTTTTATGGCTATTTTCCAAAGTGGTGTACCATTTTAAATTCCCACCAGCATTGTACAAGAGTTCTAGTTGCTCTAAATCCTCATCAATAGTGTATGTGGTCAGTGTTTTATTTTTAGCCATTCTTACAGGTATGTAGCGGTATCTTACTATAGTTTTAATTTGGATTTCCCTAATGACAAATCATGTTGGACATCTTTTTTGTGTGTATTTTGTGTGTATTTTTTTTTTGTTTGTATCTTTTTTGATAAAATGCATGTTAAAATCTTTTGCCCAATTCTAAATGTGTCTTCTTACTCAGTTGTTTATGTATTTAAGATACAGGCTCTTTGTCAGATACGTTTTACAGATACGTACTTTCAGTCTGTAGCTTATTAATCTTTTCCTTTTCATAGCAGTATCTTTTGAAGATCAAACTGTTGACTTTGAGGAAATCAATTTATTACATTTTTTTCTTATTTTTACTTATTTAAAAATATATGTAAAACCCAAGTTCAATAAGATTCTTTCCTATATTTTCTTCCAGGAGTTTTATAGTTTTGGCTTTTACATTTAGGTCTATAATCTATTTGAAGTAAGTTTTTATATATGGTTGAGGTAACGGTGAAGAATGAATTTTTTTTTCTTTTTGGCATTTGGCTATCCACTTGTTGCCCCACCATCTGAGGAAAAGATTATCCTTTTACCATTGAATTGCCGTGATACTCGTCAGTTAATTGATGTGATCAGTTCTTCACAGTTAGGATTAGAAAGGGCCAAGTCGGTACAGGTACAGACCTAGATTTGTATTTGCAGAGTTAGGAAGGCGGGGTATTGTTGTGGGAGTTTTCTCTGGAGATTGATGTAGAGGGGTGTGTTTAGGAGGAACATTTGCCTCTCTCTTTGTTACAGTGTTGCAGAATTTTTGTAGAGGCTCCCCCCCCCCCAAATAAAAACATTTTATAAAAAGTCATTGACAGCTGTGGAGCAGTGAGCGAAAGGAGCCTGCGGGACAGGAAGCAGATCCATGAACAGGAAATCGTATCGCTTTGACAAGGTCAGAGGAAGTGGGAAGATCATTTCCTACATGTGACAAGATTTCCAAAGAGTCACAAAGCTAATTGCACGGTGCCAGTTATGGTGAAAAGCCTTAGAACTAGAGCCGTAGCTGCCTGTCAGAACGGAACTTTGTGTCGAACAGAAGGGCAGAAGGTTAATTAAGTGATTCCCTCCTTGGAAGCTGGATACCCTTGTGAGGAACACTCAGTCTTCAGGCCGGCAGCGGACTGCTGAACGTCCGCTCCCGAATAACGTGCATCTTTCAGAGGGCCTGACAGCCGGCGGGCACACTTGCTCAGAATGTAGCTTCCATACCCTGTGCTTCTGTGTGGGTGTTGAAGACGAAACAAATACGTTTTTTAAAAAATTAATCAACACCCAAGTTTATAGCAGCATTATTCACGATAGTCAGAAGATGGAACAACCTAACTGTCCATCAGCAGGTGAATGGATAGACAGAGGGTGCATCGCCGCAGTAGAATACTACTTGGCCTTTATTACTCGGTCTCAGAAAGGAAGGAAATTCCCACACTTACAACATGGATGAACCTCAAAGACGTTATGCTGAGTGGAAGAAGCTGGTCACGAAAGGATAAATTTTTACATGATTCCACTCACATGAAATATGTAGAGTAGACGAATTCACAGAGACACAGAAGTAGAATGGAGATTGCCAGGGGCTAGGACGACGAGGAATGGGGAGTTAGTGTTTAATTTGTACAGATACTTTTATTTTCTTTTCTAATTTTTTTTTTTTAAAGTAAGCACTTACACCCAACATGGGGCTCAAATTCACACCCTGAGAGCAGGAGTGACATGCTCTACCAACTGAGCCAGGCACCCGATCCTACTTCTTAAAATTTTTGTGGTTTATACCTTATTCTCTATCTCATAGAAATAATAATTACTTAAAACATCCACGTCTTATTTCCAGAATATTAAAGTGGTTGAAATGATACAACACTTGACTAAGAACTCCTTTGAGAAATGTTGGTATTTTCGTAGACTCTTGGATTTTCCTTTAGCTTTGTTGATAAATTTAAGATGAGGAATGAGAAGAAAAATACTAGTGTTTTGAATGGATTTCTCTTTATATCTGTTCCTGATAATCAGCATTTTATGATAACCTAATATGAAGGTGAATTTACTTTTAGTGTTCTATAATTGACCGTAAAGCTATTCATGGTCGCTGGCACTTGAGCTGTTAGGATGTTTCAGAGGTTAGTGATTAGAACAACCTGTGTATAAACAAAGGTTATATAAATCCTATTTTCTCTGAAAATTTTAACATTCAGAAGAATTAGGTTAGTTGTTGCCAGTACCAAGTACCAGTAAAGTACAGATGTGATTAAATATCATTCAGTTGCAGCAATACCAGTAAGATGTGGTTTCTTATAATTAATGACTGATCCATGTTTAGAGTTGAGCTTGATTGTGTGTGTGTGTGTTCTCTATATATTTTTTTAATGCTCTCATTTTAAATATGTACTTGGTATTTTGTTTTCAGAAGGGGACCATCTGGACCAAGATTTGGACCTAGAAATGATAAAATTAAGCAGTAAGTTTCTGAGATACGCGTTGGCTTAAGTGATTATCCTGTTTCTTTGTGGACCGAGGGTTGGCAGTCTGCAGCCTGTGAGCCAAATCTGGTTGCTGCCTATTTTTGTGAATCACGTTTTATTGGAACACAGCCATGCCTGTTTGTTTGAAAGCAAACTATAGTGGCAGATTTGAGTAGTTGTGACAGAGACCTTACGGCCCACAGAATCTGAATATCTATTATCTATCTGGCCCTTTAAAGAAAAAATTTGCTGAACCCTGATATAGACTAACTATAACTACTGGATTGTAAAAACCCAATAATTATTCTTATTTTTGCAGAATTACCTCTGAATAATGGCTAACGAAATCTAATTCCTGTATTGGTTTTTCCTAACTCGATTATTTTCTGTCAAATCCATTTATTTAGCATAATCTCAATGTCCTTTTTGGTTTTAAATCTATTGCTTGATTCCCGTTTTCAAAATTAATAGAAGTAGTGTAATAGATTTAGTTTTTCAAAGCACAATATTTTTTATATTCCTTCAGAATTTTTTCATATCTGTTACTTATCCTAATTCCTATATTGATCTAAGATTTATAGATAGCTAAGTAGTTTTCAGTGTAAAGCTTTTTCTGTGTATGTTGGTGGTGGTAGGTTGGTGGGTAATGCTATTGTAAATGTACCCGATGTTAGAGGGAACAGTGAAGTAGCCCTGGAAACTGACTGAGTTTTGAGGACTAGTCACGGACAATAAACTAAATGGTCCGGATTTGGATCCGAGGAGGGATAGTCCCTGCTGTCTTCGTTCAGGATACGGCTGGCGCCCATTGGGAAGGGTGCTGTAACAGGGAATCAAGCTATTGGTCAGATACTCGGGCTTTAGTCAGGTAGCTGTTGGTGTGGAAAAAAAAAAGTCCACATTTGATCTAATCCTAGTTAATGGATTCTGTAATACAGAACCAAGTTTCCAGAAAACTGATTTGACTGCTAGACAGGATGTTTTCCTTTTCTCTTGCTATATAACAGATTGCCCTGAACTTCGCAGCCTAAAACAACACACATTATCATCTCACATTTTCCATGGGTCTAGGAGTTTGGTCACTGCTTAGGTGGGCCCTCTGCATGGGGTCTCACAAGCCAGAAATCAAGGTGTTTCTAGGGCTGGGATCTCACTCAAAGCTCCTCACCAAGCTCGGGTAGTTGTTGCCAGAATTACTCTTCTTGCAGAAATAGAACTCGTGGTACTTGCTCCTTCAAGGCCAGCAGAAGAAAGTCCCAGCTGCTCCAAGGTTCTGATCTGGCCAGTAAAGATACAATGAGCTACTTACGTTCAGGCAGTGCATTATGTATTAGAGTAACCAGACTCTCTGGGGTCTTGTTCTACACACCAAAAATGATGACTCCAAAACAAAAGGGGCTGCACGGCTGTGATGGGAGTTGTAGGATGCCCTGTGACAAAGGAGCCAGTTCAGCCCTGTAGCTCGGTGCTTTGTGGTCCACACATAGGGCCTTCGGAAGAAGCTTCCGTACATTATCAGAACCTGGGAGGTGGTAAGAAATTGTCTTGTGACAGTCTTCTAGGGAGATGAGTGGGAGATGGCCTCACAGGCCATTCATCTTGTGTTCTGGGAGGATTGAGAAGCATTCGGGGTCATGGGGATGCCATGGCAGAGCTGTTACGCTGCACTGAGGTGGAGTGACTTCCCTACCCACCCACGTAGTTCATGTACCTAAACTGCCCGGCGAAGAGGACTCCACTGATGACACACTTGGTTTTTGTCCTGTCGGTGTGCTTTGTTTCTCTCTGATATCCTCCTGCAGAGTGAGCCTAGGACCGAGTGTGGCTTATTGAGTCTTTTGGAAATGGTTTTCCAGATGAACCAAACCACTCCTGGGCATCGAAACAAAGTGTCTGTGTTAGCACGTGCCAAGCACATACACACATGAGTGTTTATGTACAAACTAAGGAGCACAATATCTTTGGTGATCACAGAATTTTAGAACAGTAGGGATTATTGAGTAAGTATAACGGTTCTCACTCTAGAGCCAAAGGTTTGCCAGACTGAGAAGGTGATCAGTCTCCAGAACATATGTATTCAGCCTCGTGGGCCCAAACTCATGAATGCGGATTTCATCAGGGCATGACTCCGTGTGTGCGCCCTAAATGGCCTAAGATGGCGGAGCACAGCCTACCACACAGCTTGCCCGTGGACAAATACCTGGTATTAGTTGAGTAACCAAAATTGCTAGCACCGGTGAGTTTCTTAAATTGCGCTGTCACTGCTTAGTTTGTGACATTTAATACAGGGTATGTCCTGCTGCGGGGTCAGCAACATTGTGGCTTTATTTCAGATTGATTGGCATGTTGACACCAGATTATTCCCACAAAAGTACTCAACATCCCTTTTTATGGAAGAATTTTTGGTGAAGGATTTAAAATACTCACATGCCTATATAAAATGTATGATTCCCTTTGGAACATTTTCTTTGCTTTTCCGTTAAATTATAGCTTTATAAATGCACTTCTAGTGAATTATAGGCATCCTCTGTTGGGGTAGGGAATTTCCTAACTATAGTTTTGGTCCAGTCAATTTAACTTTATAAAAAAGGTCCCCAAGGAATGTTCCATGATGCAACAGAAATATATATATAGTTGCAGAAATACAACATAACTTTAAAACCTTCTTTCGTCAACAATACCTTAAAAAGCCACAAGATGGGGGTGTTAACTATGAAAATAAGTTTTTTTCTTCAGAGTATTTGTTGCAGAGCATGATTTTTCTTTCCCTAGTAGAAGATCATTGACATTAAGCACATGCTAAGTGTTAGGTGTTGGTGCTAAGTGTTTAAAAAACATTGTTATATCTAATTCTCACAAGTGAGAGATGATCATTTTCATCGAAAGGTGAGAAAGTATGACTCAAGGAGGCTTGCCATGGACACTACTACCCCATGCAGTTTCCCTGTTGATAATTGGAATAGAGGCATTTCAGGAATGCAGGTGCTGTCAGGCCCTAAGGATGATTTAAATCAACATGGGAATATCTTTTCCTTTCTGTATATCTTTATCTTTTCCTGGGTATGTTCTCTCTTGTGCCCTTCTTTCTACCATATGACTCTCCTTTAACCGGAAATTATATAAATCTCCACACCCTCCTTTACAAACTTGTTTTTCCTTTGAGTTCTTAATTTTCTGTTCTAATTTATAGCATCATCTCCTGACAGTTGCTCAAATTACAAATCTCTCTACCCTTTTCTTGCTTCTACCCTTTTCCTGCTTTTACCCTTTCTTGCCCCAACTTCTTCACTAGTGTCTAGTTAATCACCTGGCACCTGAAGTATCCCCTCCTCTTATATATTATCCCTTAGCCCACTGTCAACTGTCAGTCTCCTTCGTTACTCTGCCCAATTCACACTTACCCCTTAAAACTCATTGCCAGGACCTTGCTGCTGTCTCTGTCTGGTCCAGGCTGCACAGCTGATGCCACAGTTTCCTTCCATTACGCCACGCACTGCGCGGCGGTAGAATCATGGACCCTGGTTTTCCCCGGGAGACTCTAATCTTCCTGAAGATCGGACTTAAACCCTTCACATTGGTGTCCTCAATAAATAGTATAATAATAACTCCTTAGTAAATGTTTTTTTGAATGAATGAATGCCTATTTCTATCAGGCATATTTCACATGACCTAGGAAATAAAAGGATGAGTGGGACAGTCTCTGCTTTTAAGGCATTTAAAGTGTAGTAAGGATAAGATCAACATAAAATACAAGTAGAGATCAGTATTATAACTGCTATGAAAATGTGTAATATCATGGGAGATATGTTACCATTTGTTTTTAAAGAAGTACCCTTTTTATTAAAATAAGTAGATAATTTTTTATAGAAGTTGCATTCTGGACATGAGAACATCTTGAAATACAGAAACACAATTATGAGATTTTCCATTCAATAAAGGTTTTACAACTGAGGGCTTAAGAGTGTTATACCAGCAGACAGTAATATGTGAAAGAGAAGCAATTTGTTAGTTAATCCTTAGCAGAAAAAATAAAATGTTGATTTCTCTTAGTGAGAGATTTATTACATGTGTGCCATGTTGTTGAGGTAGTACTTAGGTTTTGACAATCTAGTAAAAATTAATCTGGAATTCTATGGGTTCTGTCCCAGTTAATCTGCCCTTATCCATGAGGTCTTTTGCTTATGGGGATTCTAGGACCAGAGTTACTTCTTAAGGTTTTTTTGTTTTTGTTTTTGTTTTAAAATGTATAGGGCATCAGTATCCATAATAGCCATGATCTGATCACGTGGAGGGGTGCGGTCTCTGTTGCCCACACCCACCCCACAGTACTGCCTTACTGTAGGCTCTTGTCATCTCTTGCAAATGACAAAAAGTAACCACCTTGGGAGTTTCAAGATTGGTCCTCGATGGACAATAGCTGTATCTCTGTTACAGTTCTCAGAGTTGAGTGGAGGCCTCTACGTTCCCTGCCTTTTCTCTTTCTCAAGTAACTGGGTATGCTTTGCAGGACTTATACCCAAATCGTTGGCTTATTCAACAAATGTTCATCGAACAGGTGCTCTCCCAGGCACTGTTGCTGATTTGGGGGCTGCAAAAGTGAACAAAGTGGGCAAGGCTTCAGTGTTCATCAAGCTTAGCTTCTAGTGGGGGAAAGGCAGGAAACAGCTACGTACTTTCACTTAGTGTTCGATGCATTCAGTAGAGAAGTGGGACAGAGAGGCTGTGTCACAGCTCTGAAGGTTGGTTCAGTGCACTCACTCCGCGTTTGAACGTAAGTTCCATGAGAGCTGGGATTGTCTGCTTTGTTCATTCCTGTCGTAAAACAACACATAGTGGGCTCTCATTGATTACTGAACACATGAATTGCTCAAGTGTTTGTGCCATTATTCTTATCTAGGATGAGCATCTTTAGCTCTTCGTTTAGATGATTAGAAATTGCAACAAGCCATCTTAGGGATTCAGAGGCTTTTTCAGATCTTTTTGGGCAGAAAAGACAGTTCTGTGTGTTGTGGCCTGGCTCTACTTCAGTCCGAGGTCCTTCTGTAGGGTCTGTGTGGCAACACGGGATTCTGGGGGGCTGTGATGAGCCTTGAAGTCCATGTGTGGATAATCAGAGGGTTTACATAGTACTTTTCACTTAAGAAGAAAGGACTGTCCTCAAACATAGTCATTGCTACTTGAATCTGCGACTACTCTGAAACCACCTGTGTCTAAATGGATCTTCATTTTGATTTTAAAGCAAACTTTGAAGATACAGGTCTCCAAAGGGAAGAGGTAAAACTCATAAAATTATGCATCCATACCTCACCCCTGACTCACTGGGGAATAGAGGGCACAGATAAGGTGTATATTGTGAGGTTTTATCTAAAACAGTGTAGGTGGTAATTGATGCAATTCTTTCTTCCTCAATTAGAAACAACAATTGCATATCCTTATATAGTATATGTGTGTGTTTATGTAAAGTATTATATATATATATAGCAATCCAGTACATTTTAAATATTATTTGAGTAGTAAGAACCATGAGTTCACTTTATTTCTCCTTTTAAATATTTCACTGGCATGGCAATTTTATGAGGTAATTTAAAATAATTTTTGTCTAAGAGAACAGAGGAAAACTAAATACTAAATTATTAAACATTTCTGTGTTTGTGTACTCAAGGTAAGTCCTGAGTGAGAGGAGGCAGCTAAGAACCAATTAGATGAATAAATGAAGATTAAGTCTTTAGTAAACCGTCTGAAATTCGGTTAGAACAGGCCCTCATCACCTAACATAAAGGAGGAAATTATATTTTCATTTTGAAAAACAGCAAAAAATGTTTCCTCTCTCCTCCCTCTTGGGTGCTTCAGAACCTTCCCGGCTGTGCTCATCTTAAACCTGTTTAAGAGAGAACTGATGAGCAGAGAACAGTTAACACCTGGACCCTCAGCGTACATTTCCAGCTTGGAAAGCGAGTACTGTCATAAGCTAATCGCACACCAGGGCAAACTCCTCTGTTAGCCTTAGTGTGTAAACTGCAGCAGAAGTAGGTTACAGCTGCATCTGTGGGATGGCTCAGTAGCCTAAGGAAAAGAAAATGAAAGTGATTACTTAGAGTTAAGCTATTTTACTAAGATCTGCAGTTACTGAACACTGGAAATTTGTAGGGACAAGGCTAACCTATCTTTAAGTGAAATATGACTTTCACTTATAGTATCTTTAATTTCTTGAGTACTCAAGGCCACAAATGGAAGGGCCATGCTACCCAGCCTTCACTTAAACATTTTATAGTTGAGTATTTTTCTGAAAACTTGCTATTTTCTATCATGGAATTTTTCTGATGAACGTTTCAAAAATTATAAAATTCTCAAAAGAAAAAGTAATTTTTAAATCTTTCTTTTAAACTAGTGTTCAGAATCAGGTGGATGAAGTTATTGATGTCATGCAAGAAAATATTACAAAGGTAATTGAAAGAGGGGAGAGACTAGATGAACTACAGGACAAATCAGGTACAGATACTTCATATATTTCTTGATATTATTATACTGTGTTGTGATAGTTTATTTCTCCTTCCATTTCTCTAGCCAGAGTTTAGGAATCGTGGTTTAGGAAAATGATACTTGGTTCTTAAGTTTGTGATTTTAGTATTTTAACTTTAGCTCCCTTTACTTGAATCACCTTACTGCATTAATTGTTGGGTTAAGAATGGAAAATTTTTAAATTTATTGTTGAACAGTTAGAGTAGAATTTTTTTTTGCCTTATTATGTTCATGAGCACTGTTTCTTATGATCTCAAGAAGGAAAAGTCTGATCACTTCTTAACACTTATGTCAAACTTAATCTGATATTTTTATTTTAGGCTTTTTCTGATAACTTAGTAACATTTCTTTACTGACAAATGTTAGTCTCTGTGCTTTTAACAGTTACTGGCACATGTTCGCTTCTCAAATATTGTTTCAGTGATGAAGGACTAAATACCTCACTCATCCTTGAAAGACTTATCAAACCACAAAACTTATTTAACCACTTTTAAAATTCGTTGTTTTACTTCAGGCTGTGTCACAGTTTATTTATCCTGTTAAATTGTCCTCTTAAATGTTTGAGTTGTTTCAGATCTTTTTCACTATTAAACAGGTTTGTAGTGGGCATGCTTGCACATGTCTCCTTGTTATGCGCGTATGAAAGTTTTCTCTAGGGTATGTAACTAGGAATACATGGCTGTTTATTTATTTTTAAAGATTGATTTTATTTATTTATTTGTCAGAGAGCGTGAGCGAGCTAGCGCACAAGCAGGCAGAGAGGCAGGCAGAGTCAGAGAGAGAGAAGCAGGCTCCCCACCAAGCAAGGAGCCCGATGCGGGACTCATCCCAGGACCCCGGGATCATGACCTGAGCCAAAGGCAGCGGCTTAACCCACTGAGCCACCCGGGTGCCCCTAAATTGCTGTTTATTAGGGGACAGATATTTTCAGCTTCACTAGATACTGTCAGATTATTCGAAGTCCTTAGATCTCTGCCGGGTTTTATCCTTACTAGCTGTATATGAGAGTTTCTACTGTTCCATATCCTCAATAAAACTGATACTGTCCCAGCAAAAATAAATTTCATTATTTTACTTCAAAATCAGTCATTTTTTATATCTTCTAAGAATCTGACCTTTTCTACATGCCAATTTTTTTTCATAGGTGTTGTCAAGTATTTTAAGTTTTTTTTTTTTTTTAAGATTTTATTTATTTATTTGGCAGAGAGAGAGAGAGATCACAAGTAGCAGAGAGGCAGAGAGAGGGAGGGGGAAGCAGGCTCCCTGCTGAGCAGAGAGCCTGACGCGGGGCTCGATCCCAGGACTCTGGGACCATGACTGGAGCCGAAGGCAGACGCTCAACCGACTGAGCCACCCAGGTGCCCCAAGTATTTTGTTTTAAAGAGTATTTTCTTACCAGAATTCAAAAGTTTATGTGAAAGCATTGAGACCCTGGGAAAAATAACCTATAGTCATTTTTTGCTTCCATGCCCTCCCCACCAGTACAGATTGCCAGAGTTTGTGGGTGGAGGAAAGGGAGGATGTTGTTTTCATGCTTAAAAGGGACTACATTTGCAGGAGTAGAAATTAATATTTTCTTGTCTTTGTGTGACTAGATAAAAGAATCCTGTTATGTCGTTTAATCCTTCTCTCCATCCTCTATGTGATATAGAAAGCTTATCGGATAACGCAACTGCTTTTAGCAACAGATCCAAACAACTTCGAAGGCAAATGTGGTGGCGTGGATGCAAAGTAAGTCAGAACACTGGGTAAGTTGCCCAGCATCTCAGAGGGTCTTCAAAGGCTAGAGGGCCTCTGGATCTGAAGCTCTGTGAGGACGGGGACTACCATTGCCTTGTTTATAATAGCTGCTAAACTTGGGGCATGCTGGGACTCAGCAAATATTTGTTAATTAATAGTTTGGGGGACACGAATAACTAAAGGAATCAAGCAGTCCCACCTTTTTTTAATAATTTAGCTACTTACACTCTTACTACTTTGTAAGAAATACAAATTTTTCATGTTATTGTTAGTACCTTTTTGGGGCAACTTAAAAAGATGGAATGGAAGCTAGAGAAAAATACAGTTTTCTGTTGGAAGGGAAAAAAATAAAACCAGTTTATATGTCAGAATCCATTATGACAAATGAAGCTTTAAAAAAAGTTTCACTATCCTTTATTATTCCAGAGAAATAAGAGAAATGTTTAACTAGGAAAAACATGAGAATCGATATATACATTAACATATTTTTGCAAAAACATTTTATAGAAATGAATTTGCCTCTTAAATATGTCTAAGCATTAAACAGCAAATGTTTTGTCTACAGCCATACCACCCTGAATGTGCCTGATCTCGGAAGCTAAGCAGGGTTGGGCCTGGTTAGTAATTGGATGGGAAACAGCAAATGTTTTAAGATTTTTATCGTGAATTTCATGTCACATGAGCAATTTTTTTTCCCTCCCAATTTTTGAGTTTGTTGAAAATCTTAGACATAAACTCACTGTTTTTAATCTCTCATTTTCAAGCTTAGTGATAACTTTATAAACTTGATATTGCCTTATGCTAAGGATTTCTTCCGAGAATTTCCTTGGATTTATTTGTTTTTGTCTGTTGACTTGTTGAATCAGCTTACTTTCAGAAATAGAACGGAGGAAAAAATCAGGTTTCATTGTTCCCCTTGTCAGGAATTTTAATTTTGGCTTAATATTTTATTCTTTAAAAAATAAATTTCCCCTTTAAGAAATAAGTTTTCCATTTTTATAGATGTTCTCTACTCTGTAGTCTGATTTAGAAGACCAAAGGGTCCATGGGCCTCTCACTTCCTTTCCCCATACACACACGTGACCCGTTCATGTAGTCACAAAAAGATGACCATAATGTGCATTTTGCCTAGCTTTTCTTAGCCATATCTAAATCAGATCAGAGGAACAGTATGCTTTTTTTTTTAAACAGTGTGTTTTTAAGGAGAAAAATTGAATTATATTTTTAAATTACATTTGAATTATATTTCTGAATAGTCCTTATATCACTGCCATTTTCTGGATTGACTTAGATAAGTTAGGAAAGGATAAGGACAGGGATAGAAGGATAGAAATCAGATTATAGGTTGCCAGTGGCTAAGAGTAGGGAGGTGGATACTGACTAGAACAGGTCATGAGGGAACTTTTTGGAGTGATAGAAATGCCTTATGTTTGACTAATGGTGGTGTTGGACAACTGTACATTTGTCAAAACCCACCAAAATGAACTTTAAAAGCGTCAGTTTTACTCTAGATAAGGTATATTTCAGTAAACCTGACTTTAAAAATAAGTGAACAAAATTATCCAATAGGTGAAGTGGGAGAATTTCAACATTGTTTTGTTATCATAGTTAATAATTTTAATAGGCACCTGGTGTCCAAATTGCAAAGCTTCCATGTGTTCTCTTAGGCACTTTGTTCTTGTCATAAATGTGATGCCACTAAAATGTTACCAGTAGCTCTAGTTTAGAAACATTAAAGCTGCTCCTGGTTGCTGTTTCTGATGCTCATGTGTTTATAGTAGTGGGCATCTTTTTTTTAATTAACGAACCGTCTTTAATCAATTGTCTGTGAAATGTTTGATAAAATCAGACTTGCATTTGAATTCATCAGGAAAATCAAACCAATTTATAGTTTATGCATTTTAGGATTAAATGAGGAATGTGACAGTTTTACAAAGAGCTGTGAGCTAAAAATAATAAGCCGCTAAGTACTATCTTAAGGTTTCTCCCCTCAACTGTGAAACTGGCCAAGAGTGTTCTTAGGCAAGTTATTTATTAAATTAGGTTATTAAATAAGGACTATATCCTCAAAATGGAGACAAAAATGCTAAGAAAGTAAGGGGCACAAAAACTAATAGAATTCTCATATACTTTGAGATGAAGTGCTATAAAAAAATGCCGCCTTATGCGGAGAGAATGAGTTACATTAGATGCCTGTGTTACTCCTTGTATCCTGACACTTGTGAACAGAGTTGCTAAAATTTCATACTTTTCTTGGCCTCATATTAGAAATAAGCACGAGAAGTCATAGACAGTGTTCCAAGCCAATGAAACCTTTGATTCTTACTGTTTACTGTGCAGTACAGCCTTGAACATAAAATCCAGGCAAAAACTCCTGAATCTGGGAACTCTGATTATTTATAAAAAGATGAAAATAGTCAGCAAGTTCACATAAGAAGAAATTGGACAATCTTTCAAGGGATAAGCCTATTCATTGATTCATTGATGAGTTAGTATAATGTAATAAAGAACAAATATTTTTTACTTTATTAACAAGTCAAACATTAATACCTATCTTAATGCCTTTTTGTGTCTTGTAGATAAAAGCTATCATGGCTTTGGTTGCGGTTATCCTTTTGCTAGTGATTATCAGTAAGTATTTACTATATTAGTAATTTGGGGCAGTATCATTTGTTTCAGAGTTTATTCTAATCTCTTATTTTCAGTTGATCTAGTTTGATCATGTCAGGACTGAGTAAAGACTTCTGACCCAGATCAGGACCTCTTAACCTACTAGGGTCTGTGGATCTCTGAAAATGTCCTTAAATTGTCTGAAAAATTGTACTGTGAATATGCATGTGCACATTTTTATGGGGAGAGTCGGTGTTTTTTATCGGATTCTCAGAATCCTGCCTACTCCCCCAACACACACACCCACAAATACAGGGGGAGCTCTTTGTTCTAGGCCAAAGGTGGCGACTGTTCCATCCATCTTCTATTAACTTCAGGTATGAAAGTTTTTAATTTCATAATACTTTGTTTGGAGGACAAGTCCAACTAGATTTTCTCCATATGATGGTTTTTTGTTGTTTTGGTTTGGTTTTAGATTTGAACTTGATTTCAATCATTAAAACTTAACTCTTCTCTTTTTCCCCATAATGTTATTAAAGTTAGATCATTTTTATTACCTCCTTTTCTCCAAGGCCTCTTTACCTGTGTTTATAGGGATTTTATGAAGATATATAAAGTGTCTCAAAATAACCATTTGAAAAACTCCATGTTGATACTTTCTTTTTTAAAGATTTTATTTATTTGACAGAGCGAGCACAAGCAGGGGAAGCAGGAGAGGGAGAAGCAGGCTTCCTACTGAGCAGGAAACCCAGTGCGGGGCTCCATCCCAGACTTCTGGGATCATGACCTGAGCCAAAGGCAGACACTTAACCGACTGAGCCTGAGACTCTTTTTAAATGGAAAAGTTTGTTCGTGGATTCTGTGTTGTGGCTTCACCCGAAACACTGAGGTGTAAGCCAGAAATCAGTCCTGGAGGTCCTTCCCCGATTGGTGGCAGGTGTGTTCAGAGCAGTGAAAAATCAGCCTCCTGCAGTGTATGTTCCCAGCCAATGTCTAAGCAGGCCGTGCTCTGCCTATCGAGTTTCGGCTCTCATAAACAAGTCTTTCTAAGTCTTTTTAGTGCCCCATTTCTCACATTTTTGTGCATTTTGTTGTATGAGTTCTCTGTTGAAAGTGGTCCCCAAGCTCGTGTTAAAGTGCTGGCTAGCATTGCTAAGCTCAAGAAGGCAGCGATGGGCCTTCCGGAAAACACCTGTGTTCGATAAGCTTCATTTAGGCATAAGTTGTAGTGCTGTTGGCCAGAAGTTCAATGTTCATGAATCAACAACGTATATAAAGGTTATCTTTGAACAGAAACACAAGGTTATATATGGACTGGTTGACAAAAATGTAACCAGAGGCTTGCAGGAATTTAACCCTGTATTTTCTGTAGGAACGAGTGTTTATTATTCACTAATTGAGTATTTGTGGTGACTTTATAACTACTGTACATACCAAGAATCAACCATATATTTATGGTGGATAATTTGGAAAATGTGGAATAAAGTATAAAGAAGAAAATAAAATTCAGCTGTAATTCTGCTATACAGAGATAGCCACTGTTAATATAAGTATCATGTATACGTCAAGTTTTTTTCCTATTAAGATATTAAGCATGTTTTTCAAAAACTAATATACTTTAATATTATTTAATAACCTGTGAAAATATGTTTAAAATCTTTAACATTTTAAAAATATTGTAGCAGCTGTATGCTATGGTAATACCATAATCTGTTTGATCAAAATGCCAATTTAGTGGCACCTGGCTGGCTCAGCCAGTAGAGCATGTGACTCTCGGTCTTGGGGCTGCAATCCATGTTGGGTATGGAAATCGTTTACAATCTTCAAAGAAAGAAATGCCAATGTTAGACATTTAGTTTGTTTTATGATATTTTTGCTTATCATTCCCATTTGTTATCTTTCGTCTCAGATAAAAGTTCCTCCCTGGGGCTCCTGGGTGGCTCAGTCAGTTAAGCGTCTGACTCTTGATTTCAGCTCAGGTCATGATCTCAGAGTTGTGAGATGGAGCCTTACGTGGGGCTCCGAGCTCAGTGCTCAGCAGGGGGTCTGCTTGAGCTTCTCCCTCTTCCCCTTCCTGCCTGCCTGCCCCATGTACACACGTTCTCTCTCTCTAAAACGAATAAATAAAAAGCTCCTTCCTCATTACCTATTTCCAAAAGTAGACTGCTACATTTAGGAAGACTGTTTTTAACGTACCATCTGAATCTGATTTTGACGTGTTCCTTTTTCACTTTTTTCTCTTGCAGTTCTTACAGTCTTGAAATACCGTGCTTGATTTGGTGACAGATCTCCATTACACAAAATCTGGGACAATAATAAAAGATTGCTGCATAATTTAAATGAAACTTATGTATATAACTTTCAAAACTTCTTTTTCAAGAAACTAAGAGGCAAGTATCACTTCAAATTGGAGCATTGAGAATGTCCAGTTTTCTTCTTCCCTTCGAACAAAATGTGTTTTTAAAAATTATGTTTAAGGCAAAGATAACCAGCCTCTCTTTTGCCGTATTCCAAGGATCTAATTTGAAACTAGATACTTGCCAGTTCATGGTTTGTACATGGAATTAAACAGTGATCATAATATTTCATACTGTTACTATAAAGACTTGCATTATTGCATCGACATGGGGGTCAGACTGGGAGTCCAGAAGCCTATGTAGAGTACTAAAACATGCATAGCCATTCCATCAATATTTGCAAGATTCTTCTCACATTACAATTGCTTTGCAAGCAATTTTCACATGTTTATGGGTGTAACAAAAGCTAAATGTAAATGTTGCTACCTTCAGCTATAACTAAAACATTCCAGTAAACCTATTTTTGACTGTAAAAGGGAATGTGTAGTAATTTTTTGGCATATGGATTATGGAAATGGAAAACTTAAATACAAAAAGCGTAGTATGGCACCATAAAACTGGAGATAATAAAATTATTGGAGAACATCATTGGAGTGTTTGAAAGTGAGCAGCATGGTCCAGTCTGTTTCCAGTTAGCCTCCAATAAGGAGGAACCACACATAATGTGAGTAAATGAAATCCACAGGTAACTTATTCTCTAATCTTACTTTGATAGCTTCCCTCTTTAACTTCAACTAGTCCCTCTGCCAGAAGTGCTCAATGTAGCAAAATCATTGCTCAGAATTTGCTACTTTTGCATTTCCTAATCATCCCCCGAGAGATGCATGTTGTATAGTCAAATGTCAAATTAGCCTATAGTGATGCGTCTAGAAAGTCAGGAGGTAATCATCCATCATCAGTAACCAAATAGCTAGAGTCACCATTAATTTAAATGTTTTTACAGCAATAAAATGTAATATTAACGTTAAAATGTGCCAGCCTCCTTGTGTTGTTTAAACAAGTCAAAGTGAAAAGACATAGTCCTCAAATGTGTTCGAGGAGGAAGCTTTGTAATAAAATTGGAGGTCCTGCAGAAACTTGTGCACATGGATATGGTGACTATATTACGTATATAACTAAATTGGAAATCTGGTTAATAGAAGACCCAGTATTGAAACGGGAAAGACAAATGATCCTGTATAGGTTTTATTTCTTTGGTCATTTTAATTCAGAATGTATGAAACATAGAATCTGTTTTTGTTTTTTTAAAAATTCTACAGGAATAGTACTAAGAGGCAAAAATGTTCTGTTTAAATGGAAAGAAATATGAAGGGAGAAAGCACATTAGTAGCTACTCAAGACATCTGCAAGTTACGCTAAGTTTGATAGTATGATAACACTTCGAAGAAGATAAATGTTTTACATACCGGGGGTATTGTCACTGGTCTCTCTACTCTTCGTAAATATCAATCAATGTAAATAACAAAAGAAATATTAAATCCTTTGATAAATAGGATGCCCAGGAAAATGAGCATTTTTAGAATCTTAGTAGCTAATACAGTTCAGGAATGGAAATGTTTTAACGGGATGGTATGTATGTCTTTTATTTGGGATTGGCACTAGACTCATCAGCGGCTAATTTTCCATTAGTTAGGGGAGAGATCTGGTTTTTCCATGATAGCAGTGAAGATGAATATTATTTCTCAAAAAGAATCCACGTTTCCAGTGTTTCTTTTAATAAAGTATTAAAATTGTTTTGATTTTAACCATAAAAAATTACAATACCATATATATGTTATTTTCCTTGTATTTAAATATATGTGACTGCCAGAAATACTGGTGGCGAGCACTTCACTCTGTGTTCTAGTGGTGGCTTGGTACACGGTTTATCCTTTTGTGTTTCTTGGTCTTCATGAGTCCTGAGACCCTTAAAACGGCTGGCATGCTTAGGACTTTACCATGGTAATCTTAGAGACACGAGCTTCTTACAATCAAAAAATGTTGTTCAAATTGATGTCAGGCCTACCTACCTTCCTTCCCTTAATCATTCTTTTTCTCATTCAGCTCAGATCATCCTGCACTTGAAAAATGAAGTTTTACCACTATCAAAACTATCATTATTTAACAGCAACGAAGATCAACAGAAAAATTCAAGTAGCTTTGTAAATACTAGTTGGTATCCAGTGAAAGCAGGTCACTATTTTTATAATGCCTGAAACATACCCTTATGATTTATGTTTAATTACTGAAGCCTATGCCCTGTAGTTTGTGATTATAAAACTGACTGACTCCTTCTGACTACAACCCAGTGTCACTAGTGGTCTTTTGGCTTCTCCATCCTGATAAAGCTCACTGAAAATTGCACTCCGATTTTATGAACTTGGGGGTTTCTTGATTCAAAGAAAGCTCAGTATTGAAAATGGAACATCTAAAATGGAGGAGGACTAATTAGTTAACAGCAGATAGAGAAATACACGGGTTAGCACCCTGCAGATCACTTACCATCCAAGCGCTCCGCGTTAGAAGAGAACGTCAGCACCTCTACAGCAAAATTGGACGTCGTTCCATTCTGTGTAGCAAGAATAAAAAGAAATTGAAATCTCCCATGGTCAATCCAGTCTTCAACATGCTTGCTGCCCTGTCAGCTTTGTCGCCCACACTTCCTCCTATCTACACCTGTGTGTCTGTACACGGACTAGAACACATGCAAGATACTGTTTTTTCATGCTGGGAGGGGATGCCATTACAAAAGGTCCTTAATTGTATTGAGTCTTACCAAGTCAAGGATAGCTAACTGTTCTGTTTCATGAGTCTAACTTTGTGTTTTCACAATGGGAATGTGACTGAAGTCAATTTTATCTTTCTGAGTGTGGAGTAAGGGCATGCATCAGTCCGAAGGCATTTCTGTATTTGTTTTAGAATGCGTGGTAGTGCTTACATGTGTGCAGGAAATTTTCACAGAGCATTGTAAAGGCGCTGAGTCCAAAGGAGCTGAGAGTTGCCCTTCTCAGTCTACCCCCTGCTCTGTCCATGGTGTAGCCAAACAGAACCATGGGTCAGACGGATGTGGGACTCGGTCTGTCTTTATAAGTTTGATTTGGTCTTACTCTTTTTCTGAAAATCAAGTAGAAATAAGGGAAGGGGACACAAACTTTGAATCTGGCTCCTGTTTTATTATAAAACTGCTTGGGCAGCACAGGGTTGGGGGGTGGGTGTGGGGGATGGAAAAAACTGCTTGGAACAGGTCAGTAGGAATTGAAAGGAAAGCATGACCAACCTAGTTAGAGTGGGTAAGTGTAAGCTTGTATAGGCACAGATGATACCATATTTGTGTGTCTCCACAGCACCCAGCATAATGCTGTGGACCTGGCACTTTCTAGATCAGTGTACCTAGGAAACCTCAAAGACACCAGTGTGCTAGTATGTGAGAGTCCGCTTCCATAGTCCTCCCTGCAGAGGTAAGCACATGATAGTGGCCTTTGGACTTTACCAGGTGATAGTAGGGCTCTTTAACAATAATTGGGTGTAGAAAAATCCTGATTTTATAGTATTCCATCAGGTTCTTTTCATTTGAGGAAGTCTAAAATGATGATTGCAAGGCTAAAAAGTATAGTGCATATTTCAGAGATTTTAGTAAGATGTTAAAAATCAAAATATAAGAAAATTCAACCACTTGTTTTTTACGCTTTGGGTATGTGTTTTTTGAAATTCCACGCTCTTCTATTTAACCTTTTGAGAAGTGCCTTTGCTGTTTTAAGATGTATGGTGGAGATTAGCAAATGCGATGGTCCTGTACCCTGGTCTCCGTCTTCTCCGCTCTTCATAATCACCCTTACCAGTGTTGCAAAGTTTAGAACCTTGTGTTCATGTCAGCTATGTGTTTGTAGCCCCTCCATACTAAACAGTAAAATAAACATTCATAGAAAACAAAATTAAGCACTTTGGCTTATTCAGTATGTTACTTGTTGCCTTACCTTCAAAGCGTAGCTCACATAACATCTGGCTGATCGTGCTGATGTAACCCATCCCAGCTTTCCAACAGAGTACATGGCGGGGGAAAGAAGAGAAAGATAAAATATTCTGTCACCAAAAACCAAGCCCAATGCACAGCCTGTTGATGGAATCAAGGAGGAATTTCCCTGTAAAATCATTGAGTCTCAACTGTGGACAAAACTGGTGGGATACTCTGGCTTTCCCTCAGTCATGTCTGCCTGAAGAGAGGAAGGAGGATACATTCTCTTAGATGTCCCAGTGAGAAAATCTGGCGGAGCCCTCGGCTGCTTGGTGCTGCCCTTGGAGACAACCAGAGTGATGGTCATGGCATCAACCTCCCTCCACCTACCTACACATTAAGTTTAATCTTAACACCCAATGAAGGTATGGCCAGGGGAGGATACTGGGGACAGACTGTGCCCTGAGATGTATAGTCTTCACAAGTCAAGTGCTGTAGCTAAGAATGGACATGGGAAGCACCGTGGCAACTGCGTTCTGAAAACGACCGTGTTGAATACAATCCAGTCATTTGGTGCGTGAGAGAACCAGTGAGAATGGTCCAATCGTCCCTGAGTCCCCCAGAGTTGCACTTGGTGAATGCCTACTAAACACAAGAAACTACTGTCCGGCCTGTGAGCATCAGCCTGCTTTTTGGCTGCAGGCACAGGAAGTTTCTAACGGGTCCCCACACGCACAACTGAGCAGGGCCAAGGGCCGAGCACTTACTCTACATCTTGAGTAACGGACACCCTCTCCTCCGGGGAATCTTCCAGGATGACACACGTGGGTCCTGTGTACCAAGGGAGAGAGACTGCCCTCCTGGACCATCCCCAGCGGCATGCAAATACACTGTTGTTTCTTCCTTCCTGATAACCCAACCAGCTCTTCTCCCCACTCAGCCCTCAGCTTCCACCTCATCTCTGCAACGGTCTTTGGAAGACATTGTCTATGTCTGCTGTCTCAAGTTCTTTCTCGTCCATTCCCTTAAACAGGTCAGCTGAGCCTTTTCTCACACGCTCCATCAAACTTACTCTTGTCAGAGTGGCCATGACCTCTGCATTGTGAGATCCGGGAGTCCACTCTCGGCCCTCCTTGTCCCTCCACAGCAGCCTTTGATGTGATTAATGGTGCTCTTCTCCTAATACAGCTTCCTGGGCTCCATGTCTTCCTGCCTCTCTTATTGCTCTTCTTGTCCCCAACTCTTAACCTTGCACTGCTCCAGGAGTCCGCTCTGGGTCCACTCTCCACACGCACCGCACTCCCTGGAAACCTTACCTCATCTTAGACTTCAAAATGGCATTTATGTGCTGACACCCCAAGCTTATGTCTCCCATTTGACTTCTGAATTTAGACTCCTCTAATATTCTATTTGATGTCTTTTTTTTTTTAAGATTTTATTTGACAGAGACAGCAAGAGAGAGCACAAGAGGGAGCAGCAGAGGGAGAGGGAGAAGGAGCAGGGTCTCGACTGAACAGGAAGCCTGATGCGGGGTTCAATCCCAAGACCCTGGGATCACCACCCGAGCAGAAGACAGATGCTTAACAACTGAGCCGAGGCACCCCTCTATTTGACATCTTCATGATTACTCATTTCAGATTTAAAAAGTCCAAATCAAAATTCCAGTCTGCTCCC